AAGGTACTTGTGTGGATGGGTGCCTTGAACACAACAATTGTGTGGATGTTGTTGTGTTCAAGGCACTTGTGTGGATAATGTTGTGTTCAAGGTACTTGTGTGGATATTGTTGTGTTCAAGGTACTTGTGTGGATATTGTTGTGTTCAAGGTACTTGTTGTCTTATAAATATTGATAAAGTTGTAAATACAGCAAGACATCAATAACAGTAATATTATGTTGTGTTCAAGGTACTTGTTGCCTTATAAATATTGATAAAGTTGTAAATACAGCAAGACATCAATAACAGTAATATTATGTTGTGTTTGTATGAACTTACATAGATCAAAAGTTTGTAACTTTCTTATTTTTTTATTTAACAGATGCCAACAATAGAAGATTTTAATGTGATTAAACCTATCAGCAGAGGTGCTTTTGGGTAAGTTGAGTATTATAATAAAAAGTGTCAATTCTGAAAAAAGCATAATAACAGTTTTTACTAGATTGGCTACTATATAAATAGATAAGTGGATATACTGTACATTATAGTCCTTATATATAGAATATGTACATATGGTATATTCAACATTTAGTGTTTCCTTCATTTAGAACAAAATAGATGAAACTGTCCAGATATAAAGTGAACAAAAGAATTTCTGTCAATATAAAATGTAGTTTCTGAAACAGTCCTTTATACATGTATTTGGTGTTTTTTACAGTATTGTTTGTTTTTATGGGGAGATGCTGTTATTAATGTGACTTTTGTTACTGTTTATGACTGCTTCTTTATATATTATTTCCAGAATTTATCACAAATTTCATTGGTCTATTTTCTTTTAAATATTTGCATTAATTATTGTAATTTTTTCGAGGTATTTTTATTTGGTGCCTGAGGATTGGATAGTTGCTGCTGTTACCCTTATTTTGAAAGGAATTGCCTTGGAAATTACAGGCCAAGTAGTCTTACATCTAAAAGAAGCCTGGTAAAATCCTCTACTTAGATATAACTTAAAATAAAATCAACATGAATTCACAAAAAGGAAATCTTCCTTTACTAATTTGTTAACTTTTTTAAGGATATTATTTATCTTGATGATGTAATGGGTGTGGTCGTAGTAGACCCTGATTATTAGTTGATTACCTCAGGCACCAGTACTTGAGCCTTTGCTTTTTCTTATTTTTGGAGTATTTTAGTTGTATTGAGGATGATGAGGCACCACAGAATTACTTTCGTCAAATGGTTTGTTGGACAAATAACCTAAAACAAACACTTGGGTTCTCATAATTTGGATCACATTTAATATAGCTGGGAACTCATTTAGTAGACTGACTAAAATGGCAAAGTAATGGATAGGCTTTTCAAGCTGTTCAGTCATTGCTCTGTTGGTAGTGGCAAAGTAAATAGAATTTTAGGGTATATTTATAGACATAATATACAAAATATAAGTTAGGCCTCACTTTGAACAGTTTTGTTCTCCTTTATATGAAAAGATATTGACTTGTTGGAAAATGTTGAAAAGAAGGCTGTTAGTGTGATATATAGGCATACCATGCATTTTTACCCCTTTTATTTTAATGTAGAGTTTTCAATATTTTGTATGTTTATTCTAAATCTGTGCAGTTTTTGTATAACATGTGCTCCAGAAAGTCATTAAGTTGATGTAATTTCAGTTTCCTTTGTTCCTTGTCATTGTATTGAGTTCAAACCTGTTCTGCCCATGGGAGGAATGGCTGTGATGCAGCTCATTATATGAGAATGTTTGCAGCTATTGTTCTCCACTGGTAGATCAGTTGATATCTCGAGGTTATGGCCTTCCCTCTTTTTGAACGAGAATGATAGGTGGGCAGCACAAGTGTTTATGGGCTAATCCAGTGTTTTCTATTTAAGTCAAAAAATTTTAGATTTAAACATTCTGGGATAAATCTTGATAGTTATTGTTAATCCATTAATTGATGGCATTATTAATCTATTATATTTGATTAATTTATTAGTATAGTGTTCCTAAAACCATTATACATACAGACACAAAAAAAGTTGATGGCAAGTGCTGCCAGCCAGTTATCTTCCCTATACTTAGCAGTTAAAACAAACAAAAAAATTAAACAGAAAAATGTTGGCAGATAGTAAGGGTTTTATTCTCCATGTTTCTTTGAAAGCAAAATGTTTGAATTACTGCAATTATTAAATAATACTAAATCAAGATCAAACATTAAAAAATCTCACTTTCACTACAAACTTTTACAGTAGCTATGCAATTTAATAATTTACTTGACATAAATATCTCACAGCTAGCTGTACAAATCAGCAGAAAACCTTATAGAAGCTCATTTCTTCCACGAATTAAAATAATGTATTTATCGTCAACTAATCACAATTCCTTCTCCTACATGGCTTCATAACTTGGTTCACATACAAGTAAACAGTTTTCTTAATAGATGATTTGAACTCAAAGACTAACATATTTAAATAGTAGATTACCTCACTAGGCCTAAATAGTATCTAAACACTGAACTCTAAGACTGACATATTTAAATAGTAGATTACCTCACTAGGCCTAAACAGTATTTAAACACTAGATCAGTAACAAACTACAAATGAAGCACATCTTGATACTTGTTAATCAGCCTTTTTTGTAAAATGAAATACACACTAGAACCATTCATAAATATCAGTGAGGCCAAAATAACTGAATAATTTTATGATTTTTGCTTGTTACAATATTCATTAAAAGAACTAATCTCCACAAAAAAAAAAAAGAAGAATGAAATCCCTCATTTTCTATGTACAATACATAAGGCCCTAAGCAGTAATTGATTATGCAATTGCAATATTGGTGGTGTATTTTTGTTTACATTTTTTATGTATTCAAGATCCTGTAACCCACAGAGTCATTGACTTACAAGTAGTAAGAAAAATCTGTTTGAAAGACAGATGGAGGTCCATATGGACCCCCACTGGTAATTCTAGGGTTAATACATTGCATTTAAAGCTGAGCTAATTATACTGATAACTTGTTACTCTTTTCTAACAATGACATTTTAGATTCTAAAATCTGTCTAATACTTTATTACTTGTTTAATATGATGTGTTTTGTTGTTTACTCAATAGAGAAATAAGAGAATTTGCTTTGACTAATTCATATTTTTGTCAGTTTTGAGTCTGTAGTATTGTGACAAATCATGAATGAATAGTATCTTCAGGCTTTGTGAAAATTGTAATATTATTAATTAAAATCCAGATACAGGCTGCATTTATGGAAATTTCATTGGTAAGATCTAATTTTTTCACAGTCTCCACTTGGAGAAAAAGAACAATTTAACATTAAAAACTGGGAGAGAGAGAGAAAAAAACTTGTTATAATTAAAACTTTTCATATTTTGTATAATATGTCTCCATTTATTTATTTATTCTGGAAACAATTTAGTTAACTATAATTTTTCAGTTAATAATAAATATTATATAAAGTACATCAACTGCTAAAATAATGTATTTAAATGTGATGCCCTGATTTCTGGTATCACATTTAAACTTTGGGTTTTAAACTGTTCTTCTACATCCTAGATGGAAATAGATAAAAATAAATCATACAGTTGATAATAATATCAAAATTCACCCATAAACGGATAAAAATATTTCAGCAAAAACTCAGTTCTTTGCATATGTTTGTAATCTTTAAAAGAACCAAAATCATTGAATTTTGTTGGTTTGGATAATTAATTTTTATTTGTTTATTTGAAGTATTTATGTCATTGCTTTGTTAGAAATTACTTGATGTAATAAAATTCTTAAAAGTGTTGCATTGTAATTGTTTCCTGAAGGAAAGTTTTTCTTGGCCACAAAAAGGAAAATCCAAGGCAGTTATTTGCCATCAAAGTAATGAAGAAAGCTGAGATGGTGAACAAAAACATGGTTCATCAAGGTAAGACTTGTAAGATATTGTTAGAAAAAGACTAAGTTTAAATAGGATACTGGCCCGGCATGGTCAGGTGGATAAGGCCCTCGACTCGCAATCTGAGGGTCGCGGGTTCGAATCCCCATCTCACCAAACATGCTCGCCCTTTCAGCTGTGGGGGCGTTATAATGTGACGGTCAATCCCACTATTCGTTGGTAAAAGAGTAGCCCAAGAGTTGGCGGTGGGTGGTGATGACTAGCTGCCTTCCCTCTAGTCTTACACTGCTAAATTAGGGACGCTAGCGTAGATAGCCATCGTGTAGCTTTGTGCAAAATTCAAAAACAAATAATTAAATAGGATACCCATTTATTTTTTGCATATAATGTTTGTTTCATTTTTTGTTATTAATTTGTTGTTGATTATTTTTATGACTTTATTTGAAATTTTAATTATATCTAAATACACTAAACATTTAATTTATGGACAACAAGGGACCTCTTAGTCCATTTACACCATCACATCCACTAAGGTAAACATTAAAATTAAAATAAAACATTCAAAGCAAGTCCCTGTCTTTCAAATATTTATCAAGCCTTCCCTTAAATTAACTGCACTCACTACATCTGAATACAAGCCATTCCAAAGGCCAAACTAACCTGTCAGAAAAATAAAATTTATTTGCTTAAGATGATCTCTTCCCCCCTAGTCCTACCATTCTCACCATTAAAAATATGATGCTTCAACACTCTCAAATCCATTAACAACCATAAGTACTTCAATCAAATCCCCTCTAACTCTTCTTTTTTTTAATAGGAAGTCATTTCAGAGATTTTAACCTGTCCACATATGACAAATTTTTCATCCTAGGTATCTTCCTAATACCACATGAACCCTTTCCAATAGCTTAGTGTTCTTTCTAAGGTAAAGAGCCCAATATTAAATATAGTACTCCAGATGTGGTCTAACCAATGACTATACAAGGACATTATAACTTCAGACTTGTATTCTGTATTTCTGTAGATACAACCTAAAATCCTTGCCACTAGCAACAGCACATTGCTTGGATGGCTTATGAGATTGATCAACCAGAAGACCAAGATCCTATTCTTCCATAATTATCTGATTATGATCATTAAAATTAAGCAACTTTGATATTTGTATACTGAATAAATGATAGTTTTTTTATTTAAGTTTTATAATCTAAAATGTTTTAATCTTCTCTGGTGATGGATAAAATATTGTTATTGCAGTTTCTCTTGTTGGGTGGGTTTTTTTGGATTATTCAGTAAAGATTGTAACATCTAATTAACTTTTTGAGTTCTTATAGACTTCCATCAGAAGGAATAGATGTTTCTGTACTGTTTGATTTGATGATCCCATAATTCCTGGATGGTATTTGAGCTGTTTATCTGCAACTTTATTTGATTCAAGTTCATTGCCAGCTGGACAGCTTTTTTTAAAGATTTATTTCTACTACTTTCCTTGAGCTTAATTTGCATATTCTTGTCCACTGTAGCATTGGTTGCATTCAAGTAAATCCATCATTTCACGTGGAGCTTCTGGATAAGATAATTGGACAAGTCTTCCTACACCTTAAGCAAGTTCAGCTATGGTCTCATCTTTTCTCTACTCCGAAACTTTGCTTTGGAAACTTCCTTCTTTCTGATGTGGCACTCCAAATATGTTTGACAGTGCAGCCACTAATGTTTGGAAGTTAAGATTGTTTCACATTGATAAAGCTGGTGTTTTTCAATTTACAGCAAAATAAATAGCTTGTTGCTCAACTACTTCATCTATACACCTTGTAAATTATTTCCAAACAATACCTCATGTGCTTCCATTGGTAACTTTCCATCATAATAATCTGCTGGGTTCTCGATTAGGTGATGTTGAATTGGCCTTCCAAATTCCTTTATTAATTAGTGGTGGAGCTGGAGTAGTTGTGGAAGGTAAAATAGTAGTGATAACAAGTGTAGAACAGATGTTTTCTTTTTCCATATTGCATAGATAATGGAGTTTCACATTGGAATTCTTGAGATATACAGTGGGTGAGTTCTGGCATTGATATTATTTGGTACTTATTTGATTTTGTTGTTACAATCCTCCTACAATTCATTATTATACTTTTTCATTTCAATTTTATTATAATATGTATGTACTTTACTTTTTTTGCTTTTTCCAATTTAATCTTTATATTTCTGTCTTCTTTAATGTTATCTTCCTACAAATGTTTGCTTGTAATTCTTCTGTAAACCTTACGTCTCATTCTCGTAATGCTTCTCTGAAATTTTTCTCCTTTTCAATCTTCATTTAATTTTCTGTCTTTTTCTTTCGATCATCTTTCAGTTTTCTTTAACTTTCTTCCTGATCTTTTTCCAATTTTCTGACTCTTTCTTGTTAATATGATTTTAATTTTTGATTCTTTTGTTCTTGATTTTGTCTCCACTGTTTCATTATTCTCATTATATTTTCAATTTCACTTCAAGTTCATCTTGTTGTCTTGGAGCTTAGTCTTGATTCTCTTTTATTTCTACCAAAATAATCCCACTTCTTACACCAATGTTATAATGGTTTCTGTTGTTGTGTGTGTTCTTTGGGAATATTCAGTAAACATAGTAATGTAAAATCCAGTCCACTTAATGATAACAAAAGTATTTTATTTCTTCAAACACTACTTGTACAAGTTAGCCTAACTAATGTTTGCTGATAGGCCTAAGTTCACAATAGATGCTAATAATAATGATAATAAACAATTTCACTTACTAATTTTCTCTCATACCTACAGAAATTTCTTCTTCTAGTACTTTGTTGAAACACACACCCAGTGTTCACAAAAATAAACTGAAGTAACAGACGTACTAACTAATAAACCCACTAACTCAGTAATCCATTGGCGAGGTGTTGTTGCGGCCCTATGCTCCACTGGGAGTTTACAGGAATGAACAAACAAAAAAGGATCATTTCTTTGTACTGAGTGTCATAACAAACAAAAACATACAATTACTCAATATAATACAATCTGTGGATTCTTTTGGTAGTGAACAGTATAGAAAGAGCTTGGTAACTTGACGGTTAAGGTGGGAAAATACATTATTTTTATTCTGAGTTAGCATAACAAGCAAATGTAAACATCATCCTTCAGTTAAGTAATGGTTGCCGGGTTATGACAATACACAAAAACCTTCAGAATAATCATAACTAGTGGTCATCGTTGCTGAAAACCCTGTATACACCTCTGCTATCATGCCTAGACAATTACACAAATTCTCTGAATAGAATGCCATGAAATTATTATTTTTTTATGTGTGTGTACGTATTGACAGTTTAAAATGGCCAGATCCTTGTCTAGCTTTTCCAATTCTTTTTTTTCTATATATATATTTAATCTTTTGTTCTTTTTTAATGCTATCATTGAAATCACAGCTAATATAGTACCAAGGTTTAGTATAGGATATAGGTTTTTATAAATTTAAGATGAAATGATATTAAAGAACATATGTATACATCTATTTTCCAGTAATAAAACCATTTTCTGTTATATTTTTAAGTGTTAGCTGAGAGGGATGCCTTAGCTCTTAGCCACAGCCCTTTTGTTGTGCAGATTTTTTACTCACTACAGTCCAGACAGAATATTTACCTGGTAGGTAGTCTAGATAAGTGCAGACATTTTGGATTAAGTATTGACTCCTTTTTTTCTTTTCTTTAGAGTAATTACTAGGGGTTTGTATCTCATCATAGTAGTCGATAAGTATCTAGATACAGAAGTTTTACCAATGGTTTGTTATAAAGTTTGACAGTCTTGGCTGTAATTTATTATCTATATTACTAACATTGTCTTATTTAAGTATTTCATACTTTACAGTGATTTTTCAAATTTTCAGATGTGACTCCTTATATTAAAACATTAATTTTTAGCAAAAATACTTTATTAGAAATTCTGATTTTTTCTGTATAACCTTTACTGAGAACTTGCCAAATTTTGTGAAGATACATAAATCATATCAGACGATGTATCGATACAGTCGTATCATGGCTTCACAATAAGATATCTAGTATCGCTGTATTGCATCACCCCTACTAATTATACAAGATAAATCACCCCTTTTGTGATAAGGATGACAAGTATTTCCATCTTGGATAGATAGATAGTAATCTATCAAAATGTAACATGCTACTGATTCTCTTCATCTTGGATAGATAGTAATCTATCAAAATGTAACATGCTACTGATTCTCTTCATCTTGGATAGATAGTAATCTATCAAAATGTAACATGCTACTGATTCTCTTCATCTTGGATAGATAGTAATCTATCAAAATGTAACATGCTACTGATTCTCTTCATCTTGGATAGATAGTAATCTATTAAAATGTAACATGCTGCTGATTCTCATGTTAGTTTTATTGGGAAAATTTAAATATTCTTAAAACTTGAAGCAAAATCACATGTTATTATACATATGCATATTACCACAAATTTATCTATATTTTTGTATTTTTTAAAATAGAAAAAATCTCAGAAGTACATATAGACATTATTTATTTTGTAAAGATAATTATTGCATCTGATTTCTCTTTATTGTGTACACTACCATTAAGCATTTTATTAAATTTAGTACAGAACATTTTATTCAGGGATGGATGATTGGGTTATTTTCAATAGACAAAAGATAGTTTAGAATAATATACTGAATTACTTATAATGCTAGCTCAGCATATGAATTATTCGGCTGAAAGATTCAAAGTCGCTATTACTTATTCACCTTGAACACTAATGGAATTATTTTAATACACTAATAGTTTAGTAAGATGGTCAGTTAAGTTATAATAATTATAGGACACTGTATGCTTCGTGAATTATTTTAATACACTAATAGTTTAGTTAGATGGTCAGTTAAATTATAATAATTATAGGACACTGTATGCTTTGTGAATTATTTTAATACACTAATAGTTTAGTTAGATGGTCAGTTAAATTATAATAATTATAGGACACTGTATGCTTCGTGAATTATTTTAATACACTAATAGTTTAGTAGACAGCCAGTTAAATTATAATAATTATAGGACGCTATATGCTTCGTGAATTATTTTAATACACTAATAATTTAGTTAGATGTCAGTTAAATTATAATAATTATAGGACACTGTATGCTTCGTGAATTATTTTAATACATTAATAGTTTAGTTAGATGTCAGTTAAATTATAATAATTATAGGACACTGTATGCTTTGTGAATTATTTTAATACGCTAATAGTTTAGTTAGATGGTCAGTTAAATTATAATAATTATAGGACAATGTATGCTTCGTGAATTATTTTAATACACTAATAGTTTAGTTAGACAGCCAGTTAAATTATAATAATTATAGGACACTGTATGCTTCGTGAATTATTTTAATACGCTAATAGTTTAGTTAGATGGTCAGTTAAATTATAATAATTGTAGGACACTGTATGCTTCGTGAATTATTTTAATACACTAATAGTTTAGTTAGATGGTCAGTTAAATTATAATAATTATAGGACACTGTATGCTTCATGCATGTTATTATTTTGTGTTCTACTTTGAATATCTGAAATAAATAAAAATTCAGTAAAGTACTAACAACAACCCTAGCAAAACTACAATCAACGTTTATTTACACTTCAAATCTTCAACTGCAACAAAGTACAAGACCCACACATAAGTACTAAAATTTTCTTGTTTTTTTATTTATTGTTATAAAAGTAACTAAAATGTAAAAATTAGAAACTTGTTAAGTTAGATAAGTAAACATAATTTAAAGAAGTAATATAAAAACTAAAATGTAAAAATTAGAAACTTATTAAGTTAAATAAGAAAACATGATTTAAAGAATTAATATAAAACTAATATGTAAAAATTAGAAACTTATTAAGTTAAATAAGAAAACATGATTTAAAGAATTAATATAAAAACTAAAATGTGAAAATTAGAAACTTGTTAAGTTTAATAAGAAAACATGATTTAAAGAAGTAATATAAAAACTAAAATCTAAAAATTACAAACTTATTAAGTTAAATAAGAAAACATGATTTAAAGAATTAATATAAAAACTAAAATCTAAAAATTAGAAACTTATTAAGTTAAATAAGAAAACATAATTTAAAGAAGTAATATAAAAACTAAACTTTTAAGTTAAATAAGAAAACATGATTTAAAGAATTAATATACAAACTAAAATCTAAAAATTAGAAACTTGTTAAGTTAAATAATTTTAATAAGTTTCTAATTTTTAGATTTTAGTTTTTATATTAATTCTTTAAATCATGTTTTCTTATCTAACTTAACAAGTTTCTAATTTTTAGATTTTAGTTTTTATATTAATTCTTTAAATCATGTTTTGTTAAATAAGAAAACATAATTTAAAGAAGTAATATAAAAACTAAAATGTAAAAATTAGAAACTTATTAAGTTAAATAAGAAAACATGATTTAAAGAATTAATATAAAAACTAAAACGTAAAAATTACAAACTTATTAAGTTAAATAAGAAAACACGATTTAAAGAATTAATATAAAAACTAAAATGTGAAAGTTAGAAACTTATTAAATTAGATAAGAAAACATGATTTAAAGAAGTAATAAAGAATATTTTTGCAAAGTATGCAGCACATATATCAATACTTTATTTTACTTGGGCTATTGGTTTACCGGGTGCTTATAGCTGTGTTACAATGTTTAGTAGCTAGATGGTTCAAAGAGTGTTTAGGATAAATAATAGTAATTTTCTGTTGCAGTCATTTTACAAAGAAAAGGGATAATTTAGATGTATTTTAAGTTTTTTGTGATAGTTAGAAGGTTAGTAAAATGGACTGAGCTCATGTAGTTTTAGGCTAGAGAGAAACAAATTTATATTCATTTAGGAGGTTCTAGAAGTTATGCAAATGAAATTTAAAAACTTTAAAGAGAAGAAAATAATTTTAATCATAACATGAAAGTCATCTTGCACTCAGACTATCAGAGTCGTAGTCACACCGACTCCATAAAGTTTCAGACAAACCTTTAGTAAAAATACTTAAATAAAAAAATCTGATTTTATATGTAAAAAAGACTTGTAATGTTTACTAAAAGCTTGCTAAATTTTGTGAAGGTACTCCTAGTGCATTAAAAGCTGTAGTGTGAATACTTTCATGGTGTTTAAAAGATTGGTCAAAATGACCATGTCCATATATGGAGAGGTTATACAAACAAGAAAGGAATTAACCAGTGTATAGAATACTACTGATTTTCAGGACAAATAAACATAATAAGAAAAGCAAGGAGATTAACACGATATAATTATTACATTTCTGTTTCATTGAATATCGAGGTTTTGAATATATTTTTCACTGAAGACTATATGTTACTCATTGTATTTGGTGTTTGTTATTATCTTGTTGAACTGTTTAGGCAAAGATTGGATCCCATACAATTAATTTTTGGCAAACAACATAATATAAGTAAAACAGCTGAGTGGGAAACTTTTTGAATACCAATGTCAAACTTGCTATTATAACTAACTGGGGTCTAAGCTTTATGCAGTAACATTGTAAATTGTTGTAACAACATTTGTTTTCAATTGATAAGACCGTGTCTAAATTTTATTAAGACATCTGTATAAAGAGAGGTTTAAGGCTGTTCCACTGGATAAACTTTTAATTTCTCCTCTTTTCTTTTTTTTGACAAATTTGATGTAATGCTTTTCAGATTATTTTTCTGTAGTTCTATGTAGTGACCTTATCTTTCAAAAAATTATAAAATTATTTAAATAATATATATAGCAGTTGTTTATTAAATTTTTGTGCATTTAAAAAAAAAATCAACACAATTTTGGCCCAGATTGTATGATTTTGATGCTCTACATTTGGTGGTTAAAATATGCAGTATTATCGGCTTCATATGGTCTAGATAATGGAATACATGATTGGAGGGGACGTAAAGTCTTTACTTCATATGTATGGATACTTTGATGAGGATATGGCTGTGCTCTACATTGCAGAAGTTTCCATGGCACTGGAGTACTTACATCGGCACAACATAGTTCACCGGTAGGCAATGACCTTAAAACAGAATTATAATAAAAATAAAAAATAACCTAGTACAGTTTATGATTGTAACATAATGTTCCTCTCCCTCGTTGAGATTCAGTTATTGACAAATTATATCACCTCTTATTTAGAAGATTTAAAAACTGATTTTAAATAATAATGGTTTTGGAATTTCTATTTCATTGACATTAGCTTTCTTTACTGTCATTATGACGGAGTTTGATGGTAGTCAAGTGAGATTTGAACTTACTACTAGCTCAATTCCAGCAGAGCATCATATAATATATTAGTCAGTAATGTATTCCCTTCTGACGAGGTTTTTTATTTCACAATAGAGACTTGAAGCCTGACAATATGTTGATTTCCAGCAAAGGTCACATCAAGCTCACGGATTTTGGCCTATCAAAGATAACTATTAAGAAACGTAAGTATACTGTCCAAGTTATGACCATTTAAAAAACAGAGAGACCTCGATATTCTTGTGTAATGTTTTGAAATTCAACTTTACATATAGAGGGCAGCACTGAACAAGAATAGCTATACTTGCATGGTTTTACAGTTTCAGCTACTGAAAATTCCACTTATCTAAGTTTAATATAAAATTCTGAGCAGCACTGTTTGTTTTTTTCTCATAAGATGGAGCAACAGTCATAAATTCCATTGTGTAAATTATTTGTTGTTCTATAAATTCTTTTTGTTCACATAATCTTGCAAATACATTGTTTTTATATTATATAACAAATCAAGTCTCACTCCCCCACCAACAACCAATTTTTCTCTATCCTTTTCAATATAATGCTCTCAGGCTGTTTTTAAGCAAACAGTTTAAAAGCATGTAAATTTATGTCAGAATGGAGTTCCTTAATTTAATGAAATTTTTATACAAGATGTAATTTTTGATGTAAGAAAAACAAGATCAAATTTCCTAGCTGCATCAATCTGGAAAGAAAAATTATTCACTTATTGAGTAATAATTTTGTATGTCTTCTTGATTTCATGTTCTTAGTATGTAATCTTATCAGTTATTCAACATATACAAAGTATTAAAATTTTATAAATACTCAAATTGTTCTTCATGTTTCAAATTTCAAACATTTGTAGAGGATTCAGAGCAAACCCTACAGGTAGTTTTAAACTGATATCTAATACTTTTCTTGAAATACATTTATTTTCTTGGAGGGCCATTCAATGCTGCGTCTATTTAAATTTAAGTTAAATGTTGTTTTTTTTTTTTAGGTAAAAAGGCAACGATGGCTCTCGAAACATGTTGGGTCTTTTATATTAAGGACAGTGTTTTAATTGACACTTTACAACATTGTTTTAATGTGGTAGATTTGAACAAAAATGTGTTCTTTCTGAAAGACTAATCATATATGTGATTCATTACAGAATTAAAAACTACTCCTAGAAACGTTTTTTGAGATTTTTACATTGTGTGTGAGAGTGAATTTTGCTAATGTTCCTCAGATGTTTTATATTACAGAGATAGAGTTAGCTGATGTGTTGGGAACCCCTTCATGTCTGAATCATTTTGGCTCCCCTTGCCTCAACACCAGAACTCCAGGACAGATCTTGTCTTTAACGTCCTCACTAGCATTTGTAAGTTTCTCATTCCTCGCTGAGCTTGCCTTACCTAGTTTTGTACAGGAAATACGTTCTTGTTCATTGAACTTCATGTGTTAAGAATTAATATTGCAATTTGTGGAATACTGTTTATGTTTCAGAATTTTAATACTTATTAATATACCAAGTGTAGAATTAGAATGATGATTAAGATCACCGTAAGCGAAAAGAAGAAATGGACGTCATTTTGACTTAATAACCTTCTTGTGGAGTCATCATTGGTTTTCATATATACATCATTATATTCATCTCGTAACTTAATAAGGTCCTTCCTTCATATAATAACTTGAACCATGTTTTATTTTAAAATTTTATTACATGATTATTAAATTTTTTCTTTCTTTGTCATCAAATGATACTCTAGTTTCAAGCTTCTGTCAGCTGCTTTAATCTTTGCAAACACTGGTGTGTTGTTATTTTGATTATTTCTTGACAATATTTGAGAACATCAAATATGTTTACATAATTGTTTTAAGATATTTAGTTTACGATTGAAGATACATCACTAGTTTTTAGTTTTAAGATACTTAGTTTACGATTGAAGATACATCACTAGGGATGTATCTTCAATCGTAAACTCATTATATATGAAATGAAGGCTAAACCATCATGATGGATTTTCTTCTGCTAGAACACAACTCCTTCTTTTAGACGACCCACTTTTTTATCTGATGGGGAGAGCCCTTACTTTCCTCACAAGCGAAGAGAAGATTATATAAAGCCAAACAACATAAGCCCTTCTGGTACTTCCAGGACACATGATGTAAAAGTATCAAAAATAAGCCCACAAATGGATGGAAAATCATCTTCCATTAGAGAGACTATGAAAGGTGCGACTTATTTTAGAGATTAAACAATAGGAAATTAGCAAATCATAGCAATACGAGTTAACAATTTTTCAGTTTAATAAATAATCTTAATATTATATCTGGTTATTAAAAATATTGTGAGAATTTATGTTGTTGTTTTTTCATCATCTTCCTCTCCTTGTTCCTAACCCCTCCACCTACTACAGTGTCTACCCCTAAAGAACCAACCACACCAGCTAATCTCCAGATCAAGCCTACGACCAAAGGTAATTTTAAATGCTCCCAGGCAAAAATCACTCCAGTTGGCGGACGGCCTCGGGTAACGCTTCGTAACTCCAACTCTGCCCGAAATTTGAGAGGATTGAGAGGCATTAGTACTTCTAAAAACGTTGAAGACAGTCCAAACAGTGGTGAGAAAAGAGTGCTCAAATTTAGTTCTCAAGCTGATGAATTTTCTGTTTTCAAAAGACCTGCTTCACAGAGTATAAAACGAAACCGTTCAGACTCGCCAAGCTCTGGAGAGACTGACGGTGGCCAACTTTCTACAGGATTAACAGCAGATTTGTCAGCTTTCGGGATTCAAAAGGCATCTAAAAAGATGCGTTTTGACAGTCCTAATCAATCTTGTACTTTTATGTCAGTAGACACGGAGGATAGTGTATTTGGATCATCCTCTCTCACTAATGAGCTTAGACACCCAACTAGTTTGTCTGACTGTTTATTAGGTCAACCTGAGTTTCCAGAAAAATCAAATGAAGATGGAAATAAACAAGAACCCGTTCTTCGTACCAGAGATTTAGAAGAGCCGATGTTTTATGCTTTAACAGAACAAACACCAAGTAATTCTGGGGCTCCACAGGTCACAAAATTCACCAGGTTTGCATCTGTTAAGTCACTGATATCAGACATTTCTCATTCTTCTACGGCCAGTTCTTACATGGGAGGAAACAATTCCACCAAACATGGCTCTCTCATGATCACTCCTACGCAGCCTTTTCAAAGGAGAACTAAATCTGTAAGTTGATTTTCAGTAATTGATAGATACACAGTCTGTTGTTAAAGATTGTTGCATTCTTTCATTGAATACTGCAATATATCAAGAAAGTTTGTCTTTATGTTGTGTAGAATGATAATCAGTTTGTCTGTAAATATTAAGGTTTGTGAGGGGTCTGAAAATCTTGTGATATAAATAAAATTGATGAAATCTACACTTTGCTAATTTAATCCACTTCACACAGTAACAGTTGTTAAGCAATATGTTAATATAAATAGCATCTAAACCAATACTGTTAGTTGACACTGTAACAGTTAAGCAGTATGCTAATATAGATAACATCTAAACCAATACTATGTCAGTTCATACTAACAGTTAAGCAATATGCTAATATAAATAACATCTAAACCAATACTATGTCAGTTCACACCGTAACAGTTAAGCAATATGCTAATATAGATAACATCTAAACCAATACTATGTCAGTTCACACTAACAGTTAAGCAATATGTTAATATAGATAACATCTAAACCAATACTATGTCAGTTCACACCGTAACAGTTAAGCAATATGCTAATATAGATAACATCTAAACCAATACTATGTCAGTTCACACTAACAGTTAAGCAATATGTTAATATAGATAACATCTAAACCAATACTATGTCAGTTCACACTGTAACAGTTTTAAGCAATATGCTAATATAGATAACATATAAACCAATACTATGTCAGTTCACACTAACAGTTAAGCAATATGCTAATATAGATAACAACTAAACCAATACTATGTCAGTTCACACTAACAGTTAAGCAATATGCTAATATAGATAACAACTAAACCAATACTATGTCAGTTTACACCATAACAGTTTTTAAGCAATATGCTAATATAGATAACATCTAAACCAATACCATGTCAGTTCACACCGTAACAGTTAAGCAGCATGCTAATATAAATAACATATAAACCAATACTATGTCAGTTCACACCGTAACAGTTAAGGAATATACTAATATAAACAACATCTAAACCAATACTATGTCAGTTCACACCATAACAGTTTTTAAGCAATATGCTAATATAGATAACATCTAAACCAATACCATGTCAGTTCACACTGTAACAGTTAAGCAGCATGCTAATATAGATAACATATAAACCAATACCATGTCAGTTCACACCGTAACAGTTTTTAAGCAATATGCTAATATAGATAACAACTAAACCAATACCATGTCAGTTCACACCGTAACAGTTAAGCAATATGCTAATATAGATAACAACTAAACCAATACCATGTCAGTTCACACCGTAACAGTTAAGCAATATGCTAATATAGATAACAACTAAACCAATACCATGTCAGTTCACACCGTAACAGTTAAGCAATATGCTAATATAGATAAC